TTAAATACCTTTTACAAAAATATACTCCCTCCTATTCATAATAAATGTCGTTTTGAGAAGTTGCACAGTTATTAGAGCATTCACAATGCTTTGAGTCTCTTTTTGCATATGTGGCAAATAAATAGACTTAAGTCTATAATGACATGGACAAACCCAAGCTAAAAAATCTAAAATGTATCCAATGCAAAACAAAAAAGTACAAGGTTTAGAATACTAAATGCATACAAAAAAATGTGTCTTGCCTATTAAAAAGAAAAAGAAAATTGTGAACAATTAATGACTAGGTGGGTTTGTAATTGGGTCCAAAATAGACTCAAGTGTGGACTTAGTCTCTTTTTTCTAGTGTCACATAAGTTAGACTAGGTCCACTTTTAATTGTATTGTGAAACATTTTTTTTATAGACTAAGTCTATTTCCTACTTGTCATGTGATTTTTTTGAGACCCAAAGCATTGTGGGTGCTCTTAAGAGTATTTTTTTTTGCCAATAATAACCCTCATTAATGAGGATAGAGATGAATGTTTTGAAAAAAAAGAGGAAGAGTGAATATGAAAAGACGTAGTTATTTATTAACTAGATGAGGGTAATAATTGAAATATATGTACAAAATATTAAAATGACATTTATTTGTTAATAATTGATAATGCCAAAATGACATTTAAAAAGAATAGGAGGTAGTATATATTACTATACATTTAGTATGACACTTTTTCTTTGTGCGACTTACTTGTGTTATATTATAACAATTTTTTAACTTACAACAGATAACTACATTAAAAATAAATATATCAATTGATAAATAATTTTATTTTTCTAATGAATTTTAATAAATATTACTACCTCCTATTTTTAATTATGTCGTTTTGAAAAGTTGCACATTAATTAAGAATATTTTTTTGTCAATAATAACCTTATTTAATGAAGATAGAGATGAATGTTTTGCGAAAAAGTAAAGAGTGAATATGAAAAGACGTAATGTATTTATTAGTTAAATGATAGTAATAAAGGAAAAATATGTACAAAAGTTCCAAAACTACATTTATTTAGTTAATAGTTGATAAAACTAGAATGACATTTATAAAAAATAGGAGGGAGTATTATTTTTTATTATTATAAAAATAAATATAATTTATTTATTTCATATATACAATATGGATGTCAAATCGAAGATCATCAAAAGATGATTAATTTGATATATAATATATGTAAAACCGATAAGAAATACAAAAGGTATCAACTTTTAAAATACATTTACAATTCAATAGCTAATTGGAGGAAACAAATCAAAGTGATATATTAGTCACTTATTGACTCACTATGTAAAATTACAAATAATTAAAGAGTTATATTAGTATAAGTGATATTAAAATACCTAAGTTAGATAAATAATATTCATGGAATGTCCGAACCTAGATTATTAATTATTAATATATCAATATTATTTGTCCAAACCTAATTACGAAGCATGATTCTTCGCCAAGTAGGATTCTGAAGCACCAAAAACAGCCACGTAGGTTCAGCACATTCGGGAATTATATATAGAGAGGATATAATTGCTGACATTTAGCATTTAATAAAATATTTAATAAAACCTCTAAAATTTTCCCTCCATTTCGGTTACAAAATTTGTCATTATTATTTTTTACTTCTCACATTAATACATCTTAATGAGTATAATCATGTATGTTTCTATTATATTATATAATAGTTATTGTTAATACTTACTAATAATAATTCACAAGGAAATAAATAGCTCGCTAAAGTTGCCGCTATTTGAGAAATAGCGTTTTTTGGCAGCGTGCCGCTATTTGTATTCATGTGCAATTTAGCCGCTAAATCCCGCTAAATCTCCGCTATAGCTCCACTATAGCTACAGTGCCATAAACGTTTTAGCCCGCTATTTAAAACCTTGATAATTCGCAATAAATATAAATTACATAATTATAAACAATTGTTTTAAGTTATGTATTTTAACATCAATATTATATTTTTCTTTTGTATCTCATAAAAATATTTCTTTAAAAACAATTAGTAAATTGTTTTAATAACATAGTTAAACAACTTTATAATCTTATAAACAATTATTTTTTTAATAATATATATATATATATATATATATATATATATATATATATAATTGCTAGCTTAGCATTTAATTTTACCTATTTAATAAATCTCTAAAATTTTCCCTCTATTTTCAGTTACAAAATTTATCATTACTATTTTTGTATTTCTCACATTGACACATCCTATTAAGTGTAATCATGTATTTTTCTATTATACTATATAATAGTTATTGCTAATACCAACTAATAATGATTCACAATAAATATAAATTACGTAATTATAAACAATTGTTTCAAGTTATTTATATTAACATCAATATTATCTTTTTCTTTTGTATATCATGAAAAAATATCTTTAAAAATAATTAGTAAATTATTTTAATAACATAGTCAAACAACTTTAGAAGTTTATAAACAATTGTTTTTTAATAATAATAATAATAATAATAATAATAATAATAATAATAATAACCAAACTGTTATTATCTAATGATAATAAATAATTGTTAATAATAATAAAATCGTTAATTTATTTTTCCTAATGATCAAATTTTTGAAAATGTAATATGTTAATTATCTAGAATTTTAATATTAAATTCTCAAATATTACTTACTAATATTTTATGTACATCTGTGCATGTGCACAGGATATCTACTAGTAACATGTATCTTTCGTATATATGCAATAAAAAAACCCATAGGCTCGTTTGTGGAGTAAAACTCTCTTGAAAATGAATATGTTATAAGTTGATTCTAGTTGTGACTAATAGCAAATTTGTACTGACTCAAATTGTAAATCTGATGAGAGTACTACTATGTGTGGTCTGTGACATCCAATTAAATTGTTACTTACTTCAGAAATTTGTTTTGTATGTCCTATGAAGGCCATTGCTGAAGTACTTAGAGGTCTTTTTGTCGAGTCTGGTGTTGATTTGCAGAAGGTTCTGAGAGTTGATAATTGCACTTCACATTGAAATACACTCCGAAAGCTTTTTTGGCTTCCTATTTTCCAAGGTCGGTTGGTCAAGTTGCTTTTTTTGATCTATTATATTGTCCGGAGGATTGGTATATATTGTATCGTCTTTGATCAGTAATGCTAAGGAGCCAACAACCAATTGGACAACTCCATGTAGGGCTGTTCCACATTAAAGTAACAATACTTTAATGTAGGACAGCCCCACATGGAGTTGTCCAATTGGTTGTTGGCTCCATAACGGAGCTAACTGTTGGCTCGTGGGACAGCCCCACATGGAGTTGTCCAATTGGTTGTTGGCTCCATAACAGAGCTAACTGTTTGCTCTTTAGCATTATTGCGTCTTTGATATCTCAAGATTCTAGCTGGCAGTACTTATATTTTTCTATGTTACTTTCTTTCTAGATGGGTGTGGCTGTAATTACTAATTATAATTATAGTTATTGTTATAACTCCATGAATTAAATTTCCTAGAGAAGCAATTTTCTTGTACTTTAATTAGATACTTGGCTAAAATGTGACAATATTGATGATCATTTTTTTTTTGTAGCCAGTCACGGAATCTGGAGTTTTTTTGCCCCGACTAATCCGTCGGTCGACTCAAGTCGCACACCTAACAATGGTGAGTGAGCCTCCCAACAAGGGTTTTCTGCATTTACAATGACTCAAACCCAAGACATTGCTTAAGCGGCATCAGGTTGCTTACCACTTGAGTCAACCCTTGTTGGTATATTGATGATCTTTTGTGTTTCTAGGTATGCCTCATGTGGACACTGTTCAAGAGGACAGGGATATGTACGAAGCCTCGGGTTTCTTGCAATAATACTACTCCAGAGCCACAAGGGAGCCCTTGCCACCAGGAATTGGTCAACGGAAAATCGACCTCATGTTCTCCAAGAACATAACAATTTTACTAACATGGTTCTAATTGTATATACTTGAAATTTATTTTGTGGCCGTCGATTAACATATATTACATGTAGCCAAACCAAAACATCAGTTTATCCAAGCGACTCCAATGATGTAAGCAATGATGCATCACGATGAGAGCAACCGAAAGAGAAATCGAAATGCAGTTGTAGGATCAAGATACACAGTCGTAGCAAGTTCAGTGCCAGCATTGTATTATACATATGGCTGAAGTACATACACTCCTAGCAGACATTCACATGAAATATCAAAACCTTATACTAACACTCACTTGAAGAGTTAAAGGACTGCCATCCAATTCACAGTACGTCCCAAACTTGACGCCAACCGAACAAACATAACTGCCATCCCTGAAACTTTCAAATGGGAAAGAAAAAGAGGGCTAGTAATTAATAAGAATTGGAGTATTATGATAACACCCTTTAGAATTCAAAAAAAANAAAAAAAAAAATGACAACACATTTTTAAATTTGTTTGACTAAAGAAAGTAAAGAACAGAGATTGCCCAAAGACAATAACCAAGCAGGCCTTACCTTCCTAGAAACACTTCCTGTAAACAATAGCCGGTCCAGATTCATCATACTCCCCCTTCGAGATCCACATCTGCAACAACCAAAAGAAATCACACCAAAAATGGCAAGAGTTTGTTAAGCATCATCTTCGGTTTGCAACAAATATGAATTTAGAAGGCTGACTGACTTAAAAGGGCACCAAAAGCAACCTGCTGGAAAGTACTGAGAGAAGCTAGAATAGATCCTCCAATCCAGACACTGTACTTCCTCTCTGGTGGGGCCACCACCTTTATCTTCATACTGCTGGGCGCAAGAGCAGTTATCTCCTTGCTCATACGATCTGCAATCCCCGGGAACATGGTGGACCCCCCACTAAGCACGACATTTCCATAAAGATCCTTACGGATATCCACGTCACACTTCATGATGGAATTATATGTCGTCTCGTGAATTCCAGAAGCTTCCATCCCGACCAGCGACGGTTGGAAGAGGACCTCCGGGCAGCGGAACCTCTCGGCCTTTATAGTGATGACCTGCCCGTCGGGCAGCTCGTAGCTCTTTTCGACGGCTGAGCTGTTTTTGGCGGTCTCGAGCTCCTGGTCGAAGCGAGGGCCACGTAGGCGAGCTTCTCCTTCACATCTCGGACTATTTCCCGCTCGACGGTGGTCGTGAACATGTAGCCTCTCTCCGTCAGGATCTTCATGAGAAAGTCAGTGAGGTCACGACCGGCGAGGTCCAGACGCAAAATGGCGTGGGGAAGGGCGTAGCCCTCGTAAATTGGTACCGTGTGGCTCACTCCATCACCTGAGTCGAGAACTATACCTGTTCACAAGCCAAAAACTTGTTCGTAAAATATTTTCACTACTCGCAAGTGTACGGAGTAGCTGTAGTAAACGGCGAGCAAGGTCATATTCCACTAAGATTGTTGCTAAAATAATGAAGTACCAAAATATAGACGATTAAATATTATCTGGACTAAAGCAAATTCGATTGGAGTTTTTATTCTAAACTAATGAATGAATGCAAAAATAAATTCTAACACTAATGAAGGCTTGTTCTAAATAAATCAAGTATGAGAAAATAGATTCTAGGCTATGCTTTCCTCGAGGTTATTCTAGTAAAGCTTTCTTATTCATTCAAACCTTATTTAATTCTACCAATCTTAGGGATAATCGCTAAAGTAATTTACACTTTTCTCTGAAACAAGTTAAATTGTAGATATTAATTGTTATCTATCTCCTCTCGGTCTCAAGATGAACAACTAACTCCCATAAGCTCCTAAGATTCTAGTTCCCTCACAAGATCCTATCAACCTCTCGGTCTGTTTAGTCTCTTACGTTATGAATTTCCCAATTCTAGCAATCAACTATCTCCTCTCGGTCTCAAGCCAATCACAAATATGCATAAATACGGGCCCTATATTCACACAATTCATATAATCACGAGAAATTGATAAACGAAAGATAGACCGGAATGAATAAACAAAATTACTTCATAAAATAATCCGAGTACTCGCAAATCCTAGAATCTCAAAGAGATTTAGCTACTAAACATATTCTCAATACTCAAAATAAACAAATCCATGAGTTCAATGAAGAAGAAAAAAAGAAAAGAAAGAAGAACTATTGTTGCCGTTAGTCCCCGGATCTTCAATCTTGACTTCCTCGAATCCCTCGTGTGTTTCGTACTTTCTCTAGGCCTCCAATGGTGTCAAAAGTCCCAAAACCGTGTTCTTTATGTTCCTTATATACTATAGGGCAAATATGGGTCGAAAAAGGGGTCAATTCGCGTAGGTTTCCTATTTTCCGCTGGTTTAACTGCGCGTCACACGACTCTTGTAACAAGCCACACGAGTCGTGTGACTTGTCTTCAATTTTCGGCAAACTTCCAGGTTCACACGTGCACCCCACACGAGAAGTCACACGAGTCGTGTGAGCCCACACGACTCGTGTCATGGGCCACACGACTCGTGTGGGAAAGCCGCACCAAAATCCCACAAAAGCTCGATTTTTCTCACCCCACACGACTCGTGTCACGATCCACACGAGTCGTGTGACCTGTCTGCACCTTATTTTCGTCGTTTTTCGTCTCGATTCCATCTTTAACGCTTTTTCGGGCATATTTCCTGCAAAACCAACGACAAATATACCTCCATCATAGATTAATAAATCAAACAAAATGGTGCACAATCCCACGATAAACACGGTCAAACATCACACTGTATCACTCATAATGCATGAAAATATGATGAATGTCAACTCCCCCAAACTTAAACCCTTGTTCGTCCCCGAACAAGAATAAGAAAATCAAAACTCAAGCATAATGAGTGATATCAACCAGAACAGCTTCAAGTATTTCAATGCAACCTAGAAAAACTCAAGTGATCATAACTATCATGCTTTCGACTACTTTCTTGTGTCTACCTTGAATCAGCGAACACTCAAATAGGAATAATATAAGTGCCTCACTCACATGTCATCAGTAGAGAAAGATACGCTCAAGTCAAATCAAACACCCGGTTAACTATATGTTTGCCAATCATCTAACACCCTACTTCAAACACAACTAGTAATTATGAGCTTTAAATCAAAAGGTCTTCTCGGGTTGTAACGTAGGCTATTTGGTCAAAGGTAGGATATATATGGGTAAAGTGGCTCAAATAAACAAACATACCATTCGAGTAAATAGACTACTCGACTATTCTGCTACTCATCCCTAATCAACATCAGTGTTTCTCATCCCCAAACCAAAATATCCATACACAACTCATAATTGCTCAAATCGAATCACAAAGAGAGTACTTGACCTTTTTTTTTCGCTTTTTTTTTTCAAGGGGGGTTTACTTCTTCCAAACAAGATCAAACCGTAAGGACAACGTTCCCTAGATATAAACATTGGAGGTCATCCAAGTATCCTAGAGTAGTTTCCCATACTCATTACTTGTCAAACTCAATCAACTCGTAAGAGGAGTAGAATCCCGACAGTTCGACTTGCGAGCTCCCTTTATTATCATTTTTTTTCTTTTTCTTTTTTTTCCCGGTCAAGCACCTTAAACGCGACTCAATCACGCCGCATTCCATATCCAATCAGTCAATAAATAACACCGTTATCCCAATACATCCCGAACAATAGTCAACTCTTCAAAATAAACAAGATAATCTGGTCGACAAGAAAAGGGGCATGATATGGGATATTATACCCACAAGGCTGAACCAGTCTGTTAACCGGTCGAAGAGG